TTAAACTTGCCTTGCAAGTATGTTAAAGCTTGCACTATCTGTGTACAATCTAAGACTTTCATATATACCCGAGCTGCACTGCTTCTACCTCTGCCAGTTCCTGATGTATCTTGGCACTGTATTTCCATAGACTTTATCTCTGACCTTCTTCCCTCTGCAGGTCCACTGTCATTTGGGTAAATGCGTCACCGGCTTCCCCTTCCTGGTCTACCTTGGGCTCCCAGCCTTGCCACAATTTTCATCAAGGAAATCTTCGGCCTCCATACTTTGCCCTCACACATCGTCTCACAGGAAAGTTCAATTTATGGCTCAACATTCAAGGTTCTTTGGGAGTTTGGTAATGTCGGACGATCCTCTCAAGGGTTTTGTCTGGTTAGAAGTGCGATGGGTCCCATTTGAATATTGAACTGGTAATGTCTTGGGACTCAAAGTTAAACCAGCAAAACCAGAGGCTCTAAATTGAAACCTACCTTACAAGACTGTAACCCGCCTATGATTTGGGAATTAAATTATATCACCTTTATTGAGAAAACTAAAAGAAAGAGATAGAAACATGATCTATTTACAATTTATCTTGGAGGTGTAGCATTAACACTACTCTGAAAATTTCAGGTCCCTTCCTATCCCAACACCTGTAGGAATCCTTAAAAAATTGAGTGTGTGATATCAAAATTATATTGGGTGCACGGGGATGTGGGCTTTCCAGTAAGGTTCCTCACCCTAGGAAGCTACAAGGAGTCCCACACATAAGATATTACTACCAAGCAGCACAAATAGCACAGATTTCTGTACTGTATTTTTATACATATTCACCTAATTGAATAAAATTAGAGAGCTTGTGGAGCATAATAAATAGATCTCTTGATGTGGATAACATTGAAGCCTTGCTGAAAAAAAGCAGTTTAACCTAAAATAAAGGCCCTTTCAAAATAAAATACAATATACCCCCAAAAATAAATGAAAATCCCCAAATCCTGTCCCCCGAAAAAAAAATCTAATTTTCCTAACGGGAAGACTTGCGTCAAAAGAAAAAAAGTTGATATGAATAGAAGAGCAGCCAAAAGTGACTACTGGCCTTAAATCAACTGCAAAATAAAATTAAAGACAAATAAGCTCACAATAATTTAAAAAAAAGGAGCAAAGGGGCTGACTGCTCAAAGAGGTAGCAATCAGAATTAAAGTATATTTTATGAACCTAATCTTTGCCTATACAGTTTGTTAGCTCTCCCAATTCTTTTGCTGCAACAGCTTCCAATACACTGACTCTATTACTGCTCTGTGTCCCCTCATTTATAGTGAGGGTGCTGGCACAAAACAAGGCCCCCAATATTGCCCCTTGTATAAGCAAGTTGACCAAAGTTCAAAAGCACTTGCAGGGCATTATCATTAGAGAGTAATTATGGCAGGCGAATTACCGCATTAGTTCGCCAGGTCCACAAACTAAAAACAGGCTGGGTTCACCTAAAATTCATGTCCAGCCTGAACCTGAATCTCATGCCTAGTGATGACAAGACAAGCCCTTAGTTAACACATTTCTTGAAGCACAGTGAAACAACAGAAAATTAACTATGACAGTAATTTCCTCTAAATATATTAAAGTTGGCCTCATCTACCCACCTCAGGCAAAGTATAATGTTTCAGGAAAAGTCTTTCTTTTTTCACTAAGAACATCAGTATGTTGTAAAGGAATGTGAACCTGGAGATATTACATTTATGATATGCTTTCTGATTAAATCAGTTTGTGGTTATGGAGCAGTATACACTGAAATTGTCCTTAAACATAAACTAACATTAAACTGATCTCAGATGTCCATGTATCTACTGGATTGTAAGCTCTCATGAGCAGGCCCTTTCTAACCCTCCTGTATTGAATTGATTTGTAAGAAATACAACTGTGGTAAAAATGAACGGAACAATATACAAAAACAGGATGGTACATCCGACACCAGTTTGTTGATACAGCCTGACCGGCACATTAGATTATCATCACTATACATTCTATCCCAGTATCATTGATACTCCACAGGTTTCTCGCCAATTCAAGAATCAATTTTAATCGTTTTAATAGCTTTCATATAGCATAGACACAAAACAGCAGACAAACAGAACAGTGAAAACATGCAAAGAACGCAGGTCCTCAGGAATCAGAGTGGAATGAAGAGTAGGCCAAGGAACCCCTCGTCAAGGGTCAGACGGGCCGGCAAGAAACACATATAGTCAGAAAAAGGAGAGAAGGCACAGAAAAGAAGAGAGCCAGTGGCGAAGAGCAGCCCCCCCCACCCCCTCAAGCCTTAGCTTCCGGACAGGCCGAATTGTATTCCTGGGAAAAGGTATTCATGCCAATAAAACCAAGTACGAGTAAACTTTCCTTCCTGATTGTGTAAAGAGGCAGTTAGGTTTTCCATCAGCTTTATCACCCGTGATTTCCACAAATGGAGGAGTTGGCACACCGGACCGATCTGGTAGGTTGTACAATGCTTCATAATAGGTGCGGAAACAGTCTGCTATATCGGAAGACTTGACCGCCTTACCACCCCCCTCTCGAGAAATGCAGGGAACGTATGTTTTCAAGGATTCTTCCCTCAAAGATCTAGCAAGGGCCTTCCCGGGTTTGGTACCGAATTTGTAGAAAGAGCAATGTCCCCGTGCAAGTTGGGCCTTGGTCTTATAAGCAGAGCGGCAAGCTTTCCACGCAATATCTTAAGTTCCGAAGCGTGATATTGAGCCAACGACCGTTTGTGGAGTGTCTCCAGGCGTGAGATCTGGCATATGAGTTGAGTAGTGCGTGCATGTCTGGCGCGCTCAAGGTATGTCCCCCTCCGAATCAGAAGGCCTCTAGTCACACATTCATGGGCTTCCCAATCCACAAGTGGAGAGGATGTAGAGCCCTGATTAACGGCAAAGTATTCTTCAATTGCGCTCTAGAGTTCTGATTGAAAGGGTCCATCTTGTAAGAGGGAATCATTGAGCCTCCATCTCCTAGCCCAAAAGGGTACCGGAGCCCAACAAAGAACAAGCGTGGTCGGGAACCATCGAGGTGCCGATAGAGGATCATGGGATAGCATGAAATAATCTATTTGGGAATAGGATTGATGTGGATAAGGACTCCTTCATCTCCCTCATCTCTCCTCTCATTATCATTGTGAAATGTGATGTGAATGAGGCCCAGCCACTTTTAGTTGGTAAGGATGCCAGGAGGGTACAGGAATCAACCTCCAGCCCCCCTTGACTCATGTGGGCAGTAGCAGACCCTGTGACTCCTGGAGGCAGTGGGTAATCGATCCATCACACTGCTCCTACTGGTCACGGTCCCCTGCCCCAGCTGATGTGGAGGGTAGTGGGG